AGAAGAGAAAGTGATTCTCTTTTTATTTGTGTGAGGGAGATGAGGAGGAGGAAAGAAGGGAGAGGGAAGTAGAAAATATAACTGGGTTTAAGGAGATAGGAGAGAAAGTAGAAGAGAATAGAAAGGATTAGAGGAAGGAAACAAGATTTAAACTTTTAAAGTTTAAAAATCAATTATTTTTTAAATTTGAAAATTTTAAGTATTATTTTAATAATAACCCATTTGAAACTTGATAAAATTAAGTTGATATGTCATTGAGTGGAATTAGTGAAACAAATATTTAAAAATGCAACCATGAAAACCATCATCGGGTAAAATCCTGTAAATGCCATTGTTTCTTTTTTAACATGAGGAAATGAATTGGGAAGAGAAAAAAGTACGGTTTGAAATTAAGGACATGTTGTTTTAATTCACGCATTTAAATGGATAGTCATTATAGGTCATCACGGACTGAACCCTTAAATGATATTGTTAATGGGCCAATAACCTTAAATTTATAGGTGGAGCCAGTAACCTTCAAACTTTAAGAGGCTATTAATGGGGTTAAGCCTTTGTAGACCGTAGATTCAAGCTATGGTTACTAAACGGAAAATTAGAGGAGCTGACCTTTATCTGTTAAGAATTTGACATTTTAGTCCTTTTTCTGATTTCTTCTACTTTAGTTCTTGCCTATAAAAAAAATAAAATCTTTGTAAAATAGAATAAAATCACTCTTAAACAATGCAAAGGAACTTAATTTTGAGACCAAAAGAGCATATAAAATTACGTAGAGATTAGATTTATCAATACACTCACTAATAAAATTAATTTAAAATTCATCACGAAAACTCTTTTTTATCTTACCCAGCCCATAAGTGGAAATTTGTTACTCACACTCACACTCAAACCCAATCCATACTAGCTAAAAATATAAGTGCCCATTTTGTATGGGTAAAATTAGTATTCTAGGACTAAGGATCTATTTGGTATTCCAATCACTTAATCCATAATAGTCTAAGAACCCAAAAAATTTACCAATCATTGTTATCAACTACTATTATACAATGATTTGAATAAAACCCCTGAGCTCCAACTGTTACAGCAAAAGGTTTAGGTAATAAAACATATATTGAACTTAACCATTTGTTTGGATTGAAGGGGTAAGAGGGTAAAGGACAGAGGAGGGAGGAGGACTCTCTCCTTCCTTTTATTGGCAAAAACCTATTTCTATCCCCTCACTTTATCAAATTTGAAGGTTTTAATCCCTTATATAACACTTTTAACTCCTCACTTTACTTAGAGTTATAGGTTTTAGCTCATCACTTATTAAAATCAAAAAAAATAACCCTCATTTTATACTAACTGTTAACCTTATTAGCTGAAAGTAAGTTTTTATCAACTAACATTCAACTAATAATCAGTTAACAGAATAAATGAAATATTATAAAGTTAATTATGTTAATTTTATTACTTAAAAGAAGATTTTTATCGGCTAACAGTCAACTAATAAAATTAACAATCAGCTAACAGAAATAACAAAATATTACAAAAAATGAGGGGCTAAAAGTGTTAGGTTAAATACCCTTTTTGGTCCCTCTACTATAGGAAAAAGCCCTTTTTTTATCCCTGTACCGAAAAAATCCCCTTTTTAGTCCCTAAATTTCAAAATCCAGCCCCTTTTTGGTCCTTCCGTCAGTTAAGTGACAGAGTGGCACTATAATCTGTTAAATATTTTGTCTTTTTTCTTTTTCATTGTTGACGTGTTATTACACGTCATGCCACATGGAAAAAATTGATGATGTGGACTAAAACAAACTTGATGGCATTTTTCTTTTTTCATGTGATATTTTTTTCATATTTAAATAAAAACTCAAATAATTTATTATTATTATATTCTTTTTCTTCTTCCTCCCTTCTTCTCTCTTATCCCTCCGCCCCTTCCTCTTTCTCAACCTTCTTCCTCCGCGAACCCAGCAAGGGGGTTCCATGAGGAACCCAAGACCTGGGTTCATGAAACACAACCACACAAGTTGCAAGTTTGATGTCTGAAAGCAGACAAATGCAATAATGGACTTAGGTACATGATTGAGAGGGAAATGGACAAAATAATTTTAATGTCATACATGCTTGAATTGTAGATTTCTAGATAAGGCAGCCATCGTGACAGAAGAAGACAACACAAAATCTCCCAATCTATGGAGATTAAACACTGTTCATCGAGTGGAAGAACTGAAATCTGTGATCAGAATGGGTCCAATATGGGCATCTGGGATCCTGCTCATCACAGCCTATGCTCAACAAAGCACCTTTTCTCTCCAAATTCCATCTCCATATACTTC